CCCAGAAAGCCTTTGAATAAATACACAATGATCGATTATTCTGCATTGCCAAATCAATTTTACCACTCGCAACATGTCACCACCATTGTTATAATGGGCTCATAAATTATTCATGCAGCCTACACTTTAATTTTAATCCCTGTCTGCTAAAATATGTTGATTTAACATTATTTTGCATGATGAAAGTGTCATTTTAAAGATTTAAACTAATACAAATCCTCATAATTTTTTTTACAATTGATAACAATGAAAATTTTAAATAATACAATCTATATTTATTTTGAGTCCAAATTCGGGGGAGGACACAGTTTGATAAAATTAGCTTCTTTAAATTTACAGTATTCTACCACATCTACCATACACATCTACACATCTACCATAGCCATAATGTTCTACCACTACGCCTAAACAATAGAGAAAAATAAATTATAAAACATTTGCATAATAACACAAATTATTCATTAAATTTAAAACATAAACATAGCAGAAAACAATCCTACTTTGACAGATCTCATTGTGTAATACAGTTTTTTGTTGCTGCTTAGTTCAAGGTTCAAATTAGCTGTTTTCATAAATGCAAAAAAATATAGTGCTGCACCCCGTTGGTAAATCTTATAACTTTTTAATGCTTTTGCATGTTATAGAACGATTTTTTTTAGTTAGAACAGCTGACTAGATTCTTTAATTCCCTTTAAATATAAATACTTATAAGGTTAACATGGGGAACTACAGAGCCACTGGGGCGGAGCCCTAAAGGATTTTTGAGAAAAGAATATGCCTATATGTTAATCGGGAATGTGAGCTATCATCATGCCAAATTTCAGCCCAATCCGTCTAGTAGTTAATGCGTGATTGAACTTCAAACAAACAAACAAATAAACAAACACACAAACTTTCACATTTATAATATTAGTAATATTTCTACTATTTTTTTTATTAATACTTTCAAATAACGAAGGTGTTCGAATCAGTTGATTATAGAAACACATTTACTTTAATATATTTGATAATTTACTTTGATATATTTATATACTGTATACTTTTTTTAAATAATAAGTAATAACCCACAAAGTTGGGATTCACAAATTAAGTTTTGTATTGAAGTGAGATTAATCAAATTTTTCTTGCACACTATACCTTATTATATATACAGACTGTCCCAAAAGTCCCGGACCGGTTTAATATTTTCTAAACGACAACAGATAAATCAACAAGATTTGGTACATCAACATCACACCTAAAAATCTACTTTTTTATGGAAATATAAATTTTCTGTCACATCATGGGGACGTCCCGCAAGGAGTCAGAAGGAAATCTTAAATAGAAGCATAGGTTGACATGTACATCAGGTTAAAGGTCTTTACTAGCAGAATATAATGCTGCAAATTTAAACTCAAACGGACAACCAAGTCAAGAGTAACAGTGGTTCAAAGATTCATTTAATTTGCATTTGGGGGCAGAGCCCTAGGAGTCAGAACATTTTTGTTAGCGTAAGCATAGGTCGATATGCACATCAAATTAAAGGTCTTCACTAGTAGATTACAATGCCGTAAATTCAAGCTCAAAAGAACGCCTGAGTAAAAAATGGCAGTCGTTCAAAGATTCAAAATGGCAGGTTCAAGAAATCTTTGAACGGCCGCCATTTTGTAACGGGTGATCCTTTCGAGGCGCGGTTTCCGGCATTGAACTCTGCTAGCTAAGCCCTTTAAACTGATGTGCATATTGACCTATGCTCCTATTTAAGATTTCCTTCTGACTCCTCGTGGGACGTCCCCATGATATGACAGAAAACTGATAGTTCCTTAAAAAAGTAGATTTTTTAGTGTGGTGTTAATGTGCAAAATTTTATTGATTTATCTGTTGTCGTTTAGGAAATATTAAACCGGTCCGGGACTTTTGGGACAGTCTGTATATAGAGCTGCATATATGATCCTTTGATGAAACAAACATCAACCATATATATGCACATGGTTGAAATTGCAATTTTATAACCAATATACAGAAAACGCTGTTTTAATATTTATTTTAATATAATTTAAAAAACCCATGGCTTTGTAGAGTGTGGCAATTTATTCGTAAAAATAGGTATGCATTTATCTTCAAAAGCCATTATTAAGTAGATATCAGTAAAAACTGCTATTTAACAATAAATATAAACTTATGTTCAGTGTATGTTATATCTGTACCGCATGTCAATAGAACTTATTTTTTTAATATATATATACATTTTTTCAATTATAATATTAGATATTTTTGATATACGTAAAACTTTTTACCTTTGTCGCAGTTAATTAATTAGTTAATTAAATAATTAAAGAAAAATAAAAGGATTTTTATTTTGGGTCTTTTTAAAATAATTTGAAATAGGAATGGTTACTAAATTTATGTAGGCTATATTCTTTTAATAAATGTTTCCATCAATGTAATGTGATTTTATGTTTATAACTTAACTTCCTAACACAGAAAATGGTTAATTCTATACAAAAAACAAATAACTAAGCAGCAAATTTAACTCTTTCAAAGTGATTACCCAAATTAAAACCGGCAATGTTGAACATGAGGGTTCTAAGCTAAATTACAATCCATTCAAAGTTCCAGTTAAGATTTCCCAATGGGTTCAAATCCAATTAAAAGTTTCATCATAATCACGATAAAGGTACATTAGTAAATATTTCCGGATAACATTCCCAGATTTCCCAGTAGGTGCATTGTAGTTTTTCAATCTCCAATATCAGGTGATGAAATGACAAAACATGATGCATGACCCCTTTATATTTAGTAAACATTTGCTTACCTTTCTTTTCCACAAATTTTATTTTAAGATTTAAATTTTTCTGGGACAAGACTCGTTCTAGGGGATTTTTAAAATATTAAGATCCACTTAGTTATCCATTAAGTTACCAATCAGTGTATTTTAATTTTACAGTTGGATATACCTGCCAAGGTACATCTTTGGCACAGGATACAGTAATCGATTTATATGCCAGCAAGGTAAAATCAAATTATTCGTCTAAAATTGTGTAAGAACTAAAATTACCCAGTAATTCATATATATAATTTAAAATAGTTTACCCTCATTTTTAAGATATTGCAGAAGATACACACTAAATACACTAGGCCTACTTTCTTTTGTGAGATGAAAACACATTTTTGTATAGTACATTTTTTCCGTCTAAATTCATACTGAATGTGTTGGAACACGTTTTGAATTCTACTTATATTATCTGATACCCCTCAAAATCTTTTACATCGGCCCCCAATTATTTAAAGCATAAAAGATAAAAATAACGGTAAATAATCTATATATTTGCTATAATTTTCACTCTTCATACCTTAATTAAAGAACTCAACATAGATTAGATACATTCACCGAGCATCACACTCCACTAAACGAGTAGTCTCCTAACACCTGGTAGTAAACATGATAAAAAAAAATTTATTTTAGGTTTCAGAATACATTTAACTTAAGCTGGAAGATTGACATTACAAGACAATCACTAGGTTTTAAAAACACAAACTGATTTGAGCTTTTATTAAAAATATATTTTACAAAATACATGACAAGATTTAAGAGAAGGAAAATATAAAAAGTAATCACAGACAGCGAATGGTCTTAATGTATATTTAATCATTCCTACCAAAGTTGATATACCTGGTGATGTAGAAATTGACAAGAAATGAAAGGATTGATTTTGTAGCCTTTTACAACACAACTTCCTGAACATTAAATATTAACCATTGGACGGTTCATGTTGTAATTGGAAATCATTCAATGAGAACTTAAGACTATTGCTTTAACCATAGTGATATTTCAAGCTAATAAAAAAATATGAAACTTATCAACTTTGAAGCATAAAACTCATTCTTTTTAGCTATTTACAATATCATAGTTAATATAGGTACCTTAAAAAATATTTATTTCAGTTCTTCAAACATTTACAATTTTATGCTTTTACAGAAATAAAATCAATGTAACACCTAACAACTATGTACTGTTTACTAGATGATTTTTTTAAACTCCTTTAAACGTAGAAGCGCTTTTACACTGAAATGCATATTGCGAAAAATAGCTGCTTCTCCTGCTGTATGGTAAAAAGGGTAAACTAAGATTTCAAACATGAGGAAGCTTAAATAGAAGCAGAACCTGTCTTTTGATTCGTGGTATATGATTATTTTATTAAAAATATATAGTAAAACTAAACAAAAGTGTACAAGCAACTAAATCAAAATAGAATGTCCAATGGAATAAAATAAAATAAAACCTATATGGTAAAAACTGTTTGCATATTAATTCTGGTACCAGAGATAAAATAAACTAATAAGAAAAAACTAATACAATAAGACAATTTGGTATAAATTTTTACCATCTGTAAAAGGGTTTCTTACAATAAACTAGAGTCCTATAATATTTTAAACTTAAAACATAATTTATAAAATAAAAATTCAAAAATAAAATTTATAAAAATCTTCAAAAATACAAATTGGGGAATCACAGAAGAGTTTTACTAAAATTAAAGACAAACACATACAATTAGACATAGCATTTTTGTAAAAAGGTAACTATATTTATAAAAAATCCCTATTTTATAGGTAAAACAATTCCATTTAAAACTTTGAGGTGAAAACAAATTAATTTTAACAACAAATAAAAGTACAATAACTTATAATACTGTCTTGTTAGAAAGCTAAAATGTTAACAAATATTTTATCCTCCATTTAAATGAAGGAAGGACATATACATTTAAAAACTACTATTAATCATAACCTTAAAATATAAATTGTTTTATGTATATCAATATATGGAAGAACTGTATTGAATTTTTGTAAAACAAAGTGTTTATTAGAAGGGTTTAAAATATTATGAAATAGAGTTTAAGTAAAAAAAAATAAATTAATAATAATCAATTTAATAAATAATTTAAAAAAATGAACCATTGCAAGTAGGTTATGTTTGTTCTTGGATGTAATGTTTGTTCTTTTTAAAAATTAGTGCAAACATTTAAGTGAAATATTCATGCTAATAATAGTATTCATCAGATTTAAGGAACACTAAAAGTTAATAATAAGCGATACACTAAAAAAAGAAACACTTATAACTTAACCAATATAAGTTTAACTTTACCTTGAGATTCTAACTTGGAAATCACTTAACAAACTCATTGAATTCCATTAACAACAACCATTATTCAATAAAATGTAAAAAAAAATTATTGTGCCAGAACAGTACCAATAGTTGTAAAATAAACTATCCAAGTAAAAGAAAGACACAGATTTCGATGAATCCTTTAAGGTTCAAGATTTGATCTTGATAGTTGTGAGCGATTGGAAAACAAACTATAATTGAAAAAAAATATACTAACAAATCCCAAAATACTAGGTAAGATATTTTTATATAGGAATTTGTTAGCGTATGCAATCTTCAAATTTTTACTAATTATGTCATGTTTAATTATTCTTCAAAATTTGTTATCGTTCCATTTTTAAGTCAAACTGTAGAAAGTCACATTTAGAAAAGGTTTGAAACATGCTGTAATTATACGGCAACTTACATAAATTACAAATTTAACAAGGGAATGTCAAATAGTTTAAAAAATGTTTCACAAATGAAACTATGACACTTACAAAAGTTGGCAAGACTCAGACAATTCAAATTACATACTTTTCTCAAGACACAATGTCAAAGTAAAAGTAAATCTGTATTCGAAATTACAGATTACAGAATAATAGAGAACTCTGCATTAACATTTTCTCTTTACCATAACATCTAAGGTAGCCTAGTTGAGTGTTCCTTAATCACGAATCTTCAGTAATATTACTTGCGTTTCTTACGATACTCAATCCATTACTTAGTAGTGGTTCTTGTGCATGAGTTTCTTCTTCTTTCGTTCTGCTTCTCCGTCGATAAGAGTGCTCGTTTATTTCTGTCATTTCCACGCTGTGATTTTCTTTGTTCGGAGTGCATTTGTTATTTTCTAAAACATAGTATAAAGAGTAATTTTGTGGTGTGGACGGCATCCTATACTCTAAAACAAGCACATGTACAGGCAAACGTTTTCTTTCGTCCAAGGATTTTAGATGTTTTTCTTTAATTAATATGGGGTATTTGTCCACGAGAAATCGATTGGAGTTGGTCACAAGGGAAAATTCCACTTTCCGCCCTACAGCCCTTGGAAGTTTTCATGTTACTGTCAACACCTTTTAGTAGCTGAAGTTTAGAAACAGCTGATACAGGTTATATTTCTGTCATTATTTGATTTGACGTGTAAAAAAAATAACTGTATAGGTTAGTTTGGACTATACTTAGTTAAATCTGAGCAAAGCTCGGTCTCTCAGTACTTTATATTGTTGTTCTTTTGGCACATATCATCCTTGATAATGTATTTCAATATGTACAACCTGTCATACAGTATAGGGCCTACTAAGCTCTAAGTCAACAATAATACTTTTTTACATAAAAAATAGCTTAAGAAAGGACCATTTACTAATTTCATTGCTGTAAAACTCACTCCATGCCTAAATATTTTTGTAAAATATAAAGTAAAAAAACAAGATAGAATACTCACCCTGTATAATATAGTCTAGTTCCTCTTCTGTGCCAACGTGTACAAAATCCTCTAGACAAACTCCCTTCAGAACAGACAATACTGATGGTCGAGGATTGTAGAAGTAGATTGGCTGCTTTCTCCTGCTAAAGTCCAAGATCAAAGAGGCAATACCCTGAAAAAGGGGATTCAATTAGTATAGATTCAAATAAAAGAAGAACAATAGCCTTTTACTGGAGTGAATTTGTAAGATTTTCTAAACTTATACAATATTCTGAGAATTCATGATTCGTCAGAATGTAATTCCTAAAAACACAGTACTGGAATGTCTTAGTGAGTTGGTGTGAGTTGGTAGTGTTGCCGACTTCGGGCCCAAGGCAGCGATGTAGTGGGTTTGGATCCTGGTCACTGCCAAAAATATTTTATCAGTACAGATCACCTTTGTACTGTACTGGTTCACTCCTTGCTTTGCTTTATACGATCCACGCACAGGCGGTTAGTCCATGTGGATGGGCAAATGCAAAGTTAAAAGAGGCCGCCAACCTAAAAAAAAAAAATCTTGGGCATGAAAAAACCTGTTCCCTATTAAGATTGTTTCGTGGAGTACTTGTTTGAAAATTAAAACGCTTTAATCGCAATGAGTTGTATCCTTTTTTTTCGCCTTGTTGGTAAAGTATTTACAGACCTTCGCAAAACAAATAAAAAAATTATTCTAAAAAGTATTTTTTCCAATACAACTACTAAAATAGTCTTTGAACTTAAGAAAATTTATTTCTTATCATTGAATATTTAAGTTAAAATTTGCTTCTTTTAGCTCTAATCAGGGGGATTTTTAGATTGGCGGTACTCAACTACACAGTCAAAAATATAAACTATCAAAAATAGCACCTATGTAGAACAACTATTTACCTTAGCGGCAGTAAAGTCAGCGCCCAGTATATACCTACAGTCCACCACTACTGGTAGCTGACCTTGGCCCTTCCTCATCCCTGCTCGGTCCACCTGCGACCTCATGAAGTCTACGGCAGGGAAGTAAAGACTGTTGTCTGGGGTCACCAGGAGGTATTCTCCCCCGCCCAGGCTCTGGAACACAGGGTGGAGTTGTGAGAAGAGTGCAAACAAAAAAAAAAAAAACAAAAAAAAACAAGAAAGAAAACATTAAAACTGGAATGAGTGGCAAAGAGCAATGAGAAATTGATAAATGAAAGTGGAAAGAAAGGGAGGATTAGGTGAATAGAAGACACAGACAACAAAGGTAATGGGGACAGATGAAAAATATTATCAGATGATCATTAAGAGAGAAGGCTAAACTATTGAAGCATGATAGCATAACCTAAGAATGCTTTATTGCCGTTACACTGGTTTACATGCATGGCACAGTCAAGGAAATGTCTTAGAACTAAAGGTTTTAACTAAGGTTTAATTTAACATCGTTTATAAAGTCTATTTCTCTATATGGACACAGGTTTAACAGGTAGTTTTTAAGTACTATTTTAAATTTAAAACAATTAAAACATCTTATTCTATTAGGTAACATATTATAATACTGTTTGGATTTTTCAATAAAACTAGTAGCTGTGGTGCTGTATCGACACTGTCTAGATATAAAATTGCAGCGGTTTCGTGTGTTGTAACTGTGTACATTTTCATGTGTGTCTGTTTTACTAAAACTATTTTTTGCAAACACAAGGCAGTCTAAAATATACATTGCTTGTAAAGTTAAAATATTAGCCTCCCTAAATAATGGTTTACAGTGTGTTCTAAAATCAACATTGTACATGATTTTTATTGCTCGTTTTTGCAATGACAAAAGTTTTTTTTTATAATTACTACCTCCCCATACAATTGTTCCATAACTTAGATGGAAATGTATATGTGCATAGTAAATGCATTTCAAGGTATTAAAATCTACACTGTTCTTAAGCATGTTTATTATAAATATTCCTTTGTTAAATATGGTTCCCTTGCATAAATGTCCTAATGCTCGCTGAGGGGTTGCCCAATGATAAAACAACAATGCTGTTTCAATGACACTATCTTATAACAGCAATCATAAGTCACCAATGGCTTTCACCTATATGATATATACCATAACACTATTTCACTGTCTTTAGGTCATTGCACAACCCAGAAGACTACCTATAGTAAAAGGATGAAAGGTATTTGATATAAACAAAAATAATAAAACATCGTGTAGATTAACTGCAACTTGTAATCGTCATACATTAGAATGTCGATAACAAGACATGGGGGTTACTAAATAAGACTTGTTATAAATGTTGAGATATTATGAAGGTTAGCAGTAAAAAAAGTGATCAGGGGTTAAAGTAAATTTTAGTGGATTTGAAAACGACACTTGTTATCGATATTCCACCATAGTATAAACTAACTATTTACAACTTAGTTAGCAGGGTAAACTTTTAAGTATATGTACTTCAAATTCAAGTCGTATTTAACTTAATACAAATCACCAGGAAGATCACAGTACACATACTAAAAGATTGTTCGATGATCAATAATAATTACATTACTACTTAGATATTTCTCTTTTCTAGTTAGTGGTTGTTTAAAATACTAAGTAGTTTTCACCTTTGCTTTCTCGATGTGTAGGTAGGGCCTAGCAGATGGGTATATCAACAGTACGATGTTGACACCAACCCCAACCAGAATACCATACTCTACCCCTAGTATCAGACAGAGGAGGAAAGTAGCTATGGTGGGTATAAGGTCCTTCTCTGTAACCAAAGGGCAATCAATCAAACACTCAGTTAATCAATTACAGCAATAATACAACAATCATGCAAACTACAATTCAAGGAATAAATAAATATAATGAATTGATCTTAACTAACCACTCACAAGGATAGATTTAACAATAAATGACTAATTAAATAAACAAAAACTTATTAAATAATTCTTGTTTGAAAAAAAAATCTTTCAAGTAGGCCTAACTTTAATAATAATCCTAGATATAAACCTCTATTTTATAAAGTGATGTCAAATTGATAAGGTAATTTAATACAAGGAATAACAAAAACAACATTTCCGATAATTTATTCCAATAATCAATCTTGACAGCTTAGGTTTCTGAGAGAAACGTTGATTGGTTTTCTCAGAATAATAACTTATTGAACAAGACTAACCTGCATTATTTTACATAATAAACCCATTATGTTTCTCAAAATAAAATATTTGTTATCCGATGTATTTCCTTATGAAATAATTCAGAGAATAAGGAGAAATATAAAACTTAATTTCCATAAAGTCTTCAAACAAATGGTGTTCAGAGAGTAAAGTTACGTGGTAAAATTGAACTTTTAACATGGGTAACTAATAATTAATTGTAAAACCTAAGTAAGAGTCCCTGGGAACAAATTACTTTCTCAGGTGCTATTAAATGATATATAACAAATTCAACATTAAAACCCATTTCTTTTATTTGTTTCCCATGTAATTTTGTTTGTCAAATATGTTTGATTGGATGGAAAACACACAGGCACGTAATTCGGGCAGTATTTTAAAATTACTCATTCCAAAAAAATCCCACTCAGGTTTTTATCCGTTTTAATTTGATTTAATTAATTTACATAACTTACGTAAGGTTATTGTAGAAATAATTTTTTTTTCTCTTTTCTACACCAGTGGCATTTTACAAGAGGTCAATGTGAGAATAAAGTTTTTGTTAGTGTGCCATGAATTGAACCTGTCCTTTCCGCACCGTAGTCCGAGACGCTATGTTTGAATAGGTAAAGCTCTAAAGCTCTCTGTTTACACATTAACACAGCTGTTAAAAAAATAAAATTAGATACAATATTTTGTAATACAAAATTAGTTTCTAAATGTTCTAAAAACAATGTTTATACGCAAACATATATTTAAAAAAAAAAAAATGCTACATCTATATTTGTTTTCGATCTATGTTATTGGATCGTAATCTGTTGCAAAGCTTGGGAAAAGCTACTTGTGTATATATACAATAAAAACAACGACTTACTGCTAGACCGCCACATTGGCTTCACCACTTCGTACTCTATCATGAAGATGACGGCACAGATGATGACAGCTGCCAAAGCTGCCTTGGGGATGAAGTAGAAGTAGGGGGTGAGAGCACCCAGCGCCAAGAGGATCAGGAAACCTGCGGTTGGTAAGTGAAAAGTGTGTTTTTATCTCACAAAAAGTCAATATTCAATCTCCACAAATAAGGATAAAATAAATGGATGTTTGTGTTAACTGGAACAGATTTCAAAACTTAATAATTTTAATTTATTTTTATTTTGAATGAGTTTACAGTTGATTTCAAATTGACAATGGTTCTTTTGTAAAATATAAGATGAAGTTACGTAACCTCTTTGGACCAATTCCATTTAAAATGCTCCAAATTAAAAAAGTGCTAAATTATTAAGAAAGTCAAATGTTACAATTCAATATGCATTTATCTGCATTCAAAGTACTGGTGCACCAGTATATACTCATTATTCACTAATTAGTTCCCCTTTGGGTATGCCAGTAAATAGAAAATACGTTCAATCAGATATAAAATATTTTGAACAAACTAATTTTTCTAAGCTAATACTTTTAAAATTATGTCAATACTCTAAACTCCTTTTACGAAACATAAAACGTTCCAATAATTTTGTTCACTGACCTGTATACAGACCGCCCATTGGTGTTCGTACTCCGCTAGCATGGTTCACAGCCGACCTTGAGAACGAGCCTGTCACGGGCATGGATGACACAAATGAACCCAACATGTTGCACAAACCTAATGTGAACAGTTCTTGAGTGGCGTCCACAGAGTCACCACTGGCTGAAACATTAAGTGATTTGAGAAATAGGGAGATATTACTAAAGATCATGATTAACAATCCTACACCAAATTGAAATTTCAAGTGTGATTTGTTTACTTTTTAAGTTTTACTTTACAAAACCATTAAAATATACAACAAACATATGAGGTGCCAGATTGCAGGTTTAGAATTACTACGCTGATTTTTTTTTACCAGTGTTGTTATTGTGGTAGATCATTAAGTATGAACAATAGACGAGTAGTCTAAGGTGTCTTCATAGCAATGTTGTTTTGAATAGTCAAGTCTTACGTACAACTCTTTACGAGTTTGTCTGTTTGAGGCAAAGCTAGGTGAGGGAGGCCAACCTAAAATAAACGGGGATGCCCAGATTGACAAGATGTTTGTATTCTACACAATTTACGCCTGAAATAAACCATTCTGATACTTTTTTTGTTAAGGTATGTGTCTACAAAACCTTGTTAAATGTGTATTTTTATATTCATAAGATGAGAGGAAAGCAAAAAAATAGGAATATTTTTTAATAAATTGCAAATAATTATCAAACAAGCTATGCAACCCTCAAGAAAGCTTTAGACAAAGATTTTCTCAGAGATTTTTTCATTGTCTAAGACTGGAGTGTTTATAACAAGAAGCCAAAAGCAGCAGATTATAAGTTGTTGTATATTCTACCAATAGAAATATTTGATATAAAAACATTAGGTCTTTAACAAAAAACTTACACTGTTTCTTATTGATAGAGCGTTTTACTCATTTGAAGAGTTTTACGACATGTAATTACAGTAATTAATTTTTCCTCTTTTATTTAGTTTATTTTATCCAACCAACTATTTCTTAGTTAGTAATAAGCTGTTTTGACGCCATTCTGTATTTATGCGTATATTTCATGTATATAAACCGTTTCTGATTCTGTAAAATAGCAATGACAATCGTACCTTAATGTTTTAAAACTTGTCCAAACAGAGTCTAAATTGTATACAAGACTCAATGTTTCCTTTAATACAGTTCAAAATGAATTTAGGCTTACAAAAAACTTAGCCTTACCAAAAGCTTTAGCGATTGCCACGTTCCCCAGCACTGAAATGATGGGGACAAGAATCACGGATGAACCAAGCTCGTAACACATGTCAAAGATGTCCAGGGTTCTATTGTTGACTGTAGTGAAGAATGGGGGAAGCTGGAGTGGTGGAAGCCCAGATCTTACAGTACCTATAAACATGCCGGAAGAAGATTAAAAGATGAAATAATGCAAAACAGAAATGTATTACAATAAAAATTGATTTTGGAGAACCAAACTAACTATTTTGCATGTTGTATTATTGGGTAGTTCAGGGGTAGACTCTAATCTTTTATGTGAAACAAAATTTTAATTTCAGATTTTAATTCTTTCCTAGGTGTACTTTGTGAACCCAAACAGCTTTAAAAATATACAGCACCAAAGTTTTTCCAACTGACCCGAAAGGGATAATGATAGATGTTAATTTTCAATTATAATCATTCTGATGACCAATAATTTAAAGGGTTAAGACTGACAGTAAAATTAAATATCCATCTTGATAAAGGCAGGGACTACACAGGAACATTTTTATTTGATAGTTCTGTAAATTATTGTATCTTAAAGTATGTTGAAAGTTAAAAATTATTGTTCTATAACTAAAGTGAAAAAATTCTCTCTCCTCTAGATCGTATACTTTAAAATGAAAACTCAACTATACAAATTGAGTTAGTAGGACGGCTAATAGTTGGGTGTTACGGGGAAAACATTAAATTTTAGACATGGTAAAACATATTTCTTTTAAAGTTCATCAGTTTTCATGAATATTTGTTATTTTCACTAATTAATATAATTGGGAATATTATTTGAGATTGGGACGCCACCTGTGCATATTTTATCCCGAATATGAGTGAAAGATGTATGTGCCATGTCTTGTGTAGCTTTGTTACTGACTAAGACCAGCTGTTTCATTAGTCAGGAGGACCTTAATTAAAAGCCAAATGATCAAGGTCAGCTGGGTTCAGTTACACAGCTGATTCAACAAAAAATTTGTCACTTGCAAGACAAAGGGGTGGAAGTATAGGCTTAAAAGTTTTTGAAGTCCAAAACAAATAAAATTACTTCAATTATTGCAAATTACAGACCACTTTTCTGACTAAAATCAATTTTCTGTCATAATTTTTTTTATAAGCATGAACAAAAGTGGATAATATCTCGCTGTTACAGTGAATAAAGAGCAGGATTCAACAACGGTGAATCCGAGTAGGATGCATTACTGTTTACTGTTCACAGATGTTTTCGCCTTTCAAGCGCTAAAGCTTTCCCACCCTACGCATTCAGGAATAAATAGTCTGTTTGTATTCCAGAAAAACTGTATCATTTGTCGAATTGCCAATATACATTAATTCTAAAGATAAATTATGCACTCTCACACCTACATATAAACACTCACATTTTGCAGTTTCTTAAAATTTGGTGATTATTTAGAATTGAAGGCATTTTATTACCTTTTTAGTCATATAGCTTAATCATAGCAAAAAGATTATAGGATATTTCAAAGGCTAACAATTTTATTCTGAATTCAACGTCCACAAAAATATTCTAGGCAAATCTAATTTGTTATCTTAATAAACCTTGAAATTTTAATCCAAGTAAAATTAAGATATTTTATTGAGTTTTAATAACATATATATATATAAAAATTTTAATGATAGTTTTCAGCTGAAAATTAAATATCAACCAACAAAAAATAACTAACATTCGACAAATACTAAACAATACCTAAATATATAACATAAAATGGATATTGAAACTTTCACACACACTCACAGAAATTGTTTTTATTTGTAAGCCAATGGTTATTGGGGGAATGTTTAACTTTTAAATGTTAAGTCTTTTCATCGCTCAGAAGTTATTCTTATTTTGTCTGGTTACAACGAGAGCTTAGTAGGAACTTTTAAGTAGTAACATAGAACTAACCCACTTTTAAGTGGAAATTTCTTCATTTCAAATCTGTTCATCATCTTCACACACACCATGATACTAAACACTTGATGTAAAAAAGTGTTGCCAGTATGTGCTTATGATAATCCCTTGAATCACGGAACAGTTTAAGGGATTACATTAAGCAGGCACTTACACAATTTTCAATATTTAATTGGTAATCTAGGAAGCTTTAATGAGATCATGATAAAAAATTATTTGTAGTTTCCAACATAAATTGATAAAATAAAGAAGTTGTATACCAAACCATCTCTAAATTATTTAATCCATCATTAACAGCAGTAGATATAGGTTGCTTTAACATGAAATATTATGTTTTTATGAAGAAAAATTCTCTTGCTCCCTGGGGCTGCTGAACAGAGGAAAAATTAAAATTTAATTTAATTTTAAAGGAAATTAAAAACCTAAATGTAACTTGATACTTCATTGTAGAATTATTTAGTAAGATGTAAAAGATGACACAATGTAAATCTCTGGTCTTTGTTAAATTAAATTGCTCCTCCGAATCTAATTAAAATACCTCTGTCTTCGGCTTACAATCCCAACTTTCATTTTCCGCTTAAAGCTTAGTAATGCCACTCAAAAATTTCTGACTGGAGTCGTTCACAAAAGAAATATTTCAAGGGTCAACAACACTTGGATACATTAAAGGATATTTATCCAATTTGAACTTCAAAGTGTGACACAGACAAATCAGTTACAGATGAATAATTTGTGAACTGCAAACAAAAGGTTCGCTCGGTTTGGCAAATTGACAGTCATCTCTATAGCCTGCCAATTCCAAATTCTTTATTTGTTTTTTATAATATCAATCAAAGATATTTTGTTAATTCCAACTCAGTAATACAATTTTATACGATGTATTAGTGAAACTCTTTAGAACTAATTGAAACCAGGGGTTCCATCCACAAATTGGGTAATTTTATAGTGTTCAAGACTTGTTTCCGAGGCAAAACAAACCATATGATACTCTTCAATCTTTCAAAGATTATTTTTGTTTAAAAACTGACAGGTGAATAAAACTAATTTACAATAAAGTCTTTTGATTCTAGAGCTATTCCATCAAGTGTGATTTACCTACCTGAATCGAGTTACAGTTATCACTTAAAGTAGTACAGGCTATTCAATCTACTAGTTACAAGTTTCCATTAGATTTACATTGGGCGATCAACTGATTTTCCAATAATATTAGTTTTTAGTTTCAGGGGTCTTATGGTTATCATTATCGTAAACTGCACAATTTTTCAACGCCATATAGAAGTTGGCACTCACCGTTATGGTCTTTATCACCATGCAAAATTTGACCACGATTGCTTCAGCTGTTGAGAAGGAGTTTGCATATAAGGAAATACAAGAGTTGACACATAAGAGCTTTGCTCACTCTGCTCAATAATTGTAAAACACAAAAACTATTATGTTATCATAATAACCACCTACCAGTAAGGACAAAGGGTGTGTGGCCATTGGAGTGACACCAGTAAGCGATGCAAGAACAGACGACGACAGCAAGAGCGTTCCTGGCTGTGGACAACAACCACAGTGCTTTGGTCAGCAGCTTCTGTCTGTCTGTCATCTTGCCTTCTGGGCCAGTAAACTTGATGTCCTTGACTTTCTGGAAAAAGTGAGGATTTTATTTAAAGAAACTTATATAGAGCTGCCCCAAGATGTTTTTTGTGAGGAAACCATAAAACCAAGAGTGAATTTCAACTCAATGGCAAAGACCAGAGTTATTATTTTGTCATTTTGTTTAAGCCAAGCATGAATGGAGATGAGTGAAGGATAAGTGACGCGACCTTTTACTCTTGTTATTGACTAATGCCTACATATTCGAACCGCGTTCATCTTTTCCATAACTGTTTTCAGCTTAGCAAGGTAATAACAACCTCTTTCAGTACGGTAATGAAAATTTAAACCTAACAATTAATTGAACCAACACATGCAGTGTTTTTTCCTCTAAGCTACCGACATTTATCTTGCTTACCCTGAGCAAAAGCAGAAGAACGATGCATGTTCCTCCCAGCATAGTGTCGGCAAACCTAGCCTCATCAATGTGTAGACAGACTTTACGCAGGGTGTCTAGAAAGCCAGAGGACTCAAATTTGAGTCCCAACAACCCTTTGATCTGAGAAACGGCGATAATCACCGACGTGGCGGACGTGAACCCAACAGTCACTGGGATGGAGATGAAATCAATCAGCACACCTAAGATAAGAAGAAAAAGTGGTATAGATACATATATTGCTTATAATGTTTATAACATTTTTGATTATATAGTAATTTTGTAAACTCACCTAAATGTAACACTCCCATAAGCATCTGTACGATGCCGGTTAAGAAGCACAGTAACACAGCAAAGTCAGGGTTCCTCCCAATGATTTGCTGATATGTCATCAAAGCCATAAGCGCCGTGGGTCCTATGGTGATGTCTTTACAACTTCCAAACACCAAGTAGATGAAACATCCCATGAAAGACGAGTAGAGACCGTACTGGAAAAATTCATATCAGCGTAACATTATCAAATAGAACGTAGCTTTACTAAGATGTTAATTATAGATAAAAAAGTGATTTATCAATAGTGACAATTTTACTAAATTACTACCTACATAAAGAGAGAATTTTTCTTAAAAAATGTACCTTTATTATATTGTGTACAATGTACATAGTACCATTGACTATTGGATGCAGAAGTTGTTGCATTAATAGTCAAAGATAGTACCTTTAGTAACAAGCTGAACAAACCATCCTTTGACTGAATGTTAAACAAAATAATGAAACTTTAACTTTCAAAAAATGTGCACTACATTTTGAATTAAAAAAACATATACATTTGTCTAAATACCTAATGGTAGTAAATAAAACACTGAAAATTTTTTTGGAAATAAATTATATTTAATTGGAAATTTTAGGTAAAAATTATCACAATTAAGTACCAGTAACTCAACTAATTAATTAGATTTACTAAAGCAGCAACATACTTCCTGAACGTATTTTGAGCTGAACGTATGCATGATGGTTGGTTGTCCAAAATCAACTACATTATTGTCGTTGGATAATCTGTGTAGCTTTGAAAATTTATTTGTTTATCAGTTAGGTTTAACTGTATCAAGAGTATAGTTACAGTAAGTATAATGACCATGAATAGCTTGAACCAATTTCAAACAATCATTTTGCACAAACCAATGCCAGAATTTTTTTTTATTAACTTTTAATTTTTTTTCTAACATGCAAATTTATTAATTATATTCTTTTATAAAATATTGGAAAAAAAGGATTGCTCCAGCCCTACCAGATATCGTAATCTGCCCACCGTAGTATTTTCAATTATAAAAATTTGTAACGTTGGAATTCATAGTATTATGCTCATAGGCAGTTCCAATACTTAAAAATGTTTCCTTTCTTTACATAAAAAATTTGTTTAACATTATCATTCTAAGTAAATACAGTTTCGATCCATACAATTTTAGATCCACTTTTCAATACAGGCCTTATGGGGAACAACCGATCTACCTGAATGCAAATGACAACAATGCTACAATTGACATACCGTAGTTGTTTCCATACAATGTTCGGAATACCTGTACTTTGAATTCAGTAGGGTTGGAAATGTTGAATGGGTCTTACTCATTAAATGTTATTGAAGATTATATCTCATCTGGTCTGGTGGACATACAAATCCTCTTATGATGATATTCCTTTGAACATGGTCCCGAGATTTTGATATTGTCGGGTAAAGTTATTGTGCGATGAAATTTACCATTCATGACAAATTGTGGCCCAGGATATGATGAATCTTTTGTAAAATATATCTTATTCTGCCTAGCTAAATTAATTTGTATTTTTTACTTATACATACACAGCGCCCCACTTAAAAACAACCAAACTTGGGGAAATGGTTTAATGGGTCAAAATAAAGAAAAACCAAGGATAAAACATTTTCCAAAATTGCTTCGTTCACCGGATATCAAGTATTTTGTATTTTTACATGAACCTTTTTATCCTTATATTTTTCCAACCACTCTTTATGAAACTTAGTATGCAAGTTTGGGTTAAAGAGAACCATGGTAAACAAAATTATTAGGTCCAATAAAAACATCTCAAAATGGCAGCAACTTTAATTTTATAAATTCATATTACCAATCAAAGGGATGATTAAAAAAACCAGGAAACTTTTATTTATCATTTAAATTTACAATCAAACGACATAAAATTCAAAGAGATAGAAAAAATACCCGAAATACCATGATTTTTAGTTGTAAAATAAAGCCAAAGAGGTGCATCCTGATTAGCTTACCCTTATTCTATTTCATTTTACAACTGAAAATAGTGATATGTTTACAAACATTACCTTTTAGAAATATGTTCGCTTGAAAAGTATGTATTAAACAATGTTGTGCTTGTACTAGTAGTATTGGTTGTTTACTTGTCCTATATATTTGTAGCTGGTAGTGATGCAAAATCGTTGGCGAGTGAGCTGGTCTAGTGGTTAGAGAGCGGGATTTCAGTCCCTGAGGTCCCGTGTTCAAATCCCACTAAGTCACCAATGGATTTTATCTAAGTGAAAATGCCGCAACCCCTAGGTCTAGCCTGAAGTAATGTGAAAAACAATTCCAGGCTCGTGCCTAGCGTCTTAGGACAAAAAAAGTTATGCAAAATCGTACGTGGGAAGGTTTTAGTTACTTGCATGAAATTCCAACAGGAAACTATTGTACTTACCTAAACATCTACTTTTTCTCGGCCTTGTGGTGTAATGTACTGTTAAATGTCACTCTTTACTTGTAATCTTTCACTCCACTATATACAAATCACTCACCTGAGGCTCCAGGCCGGCCAACACAGCGTAGGCCAAGGCTTGGGGCATCAATGTCAGACCTACAGTGACTCCAGCTATGAGGTCACATATTGCTTTGTCAGCAGAGTACTGGGGTAGCCAAGACACTACTGGTACTCTTCTGTTGAGGAGCCTCCGAAGTCTACTGGGCGTCTTGTCTGCCATTCTGAAAAAGAATTCAAAGAATTAACAGCTGATTTTGATGGTTTTAGTGCTGCTTTTACAGTCAAAATGTCAAGGGATGCTGAGGAAGAGCGGTTAGCCTTTTGATGGTTCGGAACTGGGCTCAGCAGTCGTTGATGTGGAGGACTAAAGGGTCCTCGCTTAAGAAACTGGTAATATTAATCAGTAAAGATCCTACACATGTTAAAGATTCCTGTCTCAACAATAATGATAATGATGGTGACAATTATAGTAACATAAAGACTTGAAGTCCATTTTATTACAGAACCACATTTTTCCAAACGCCATATTCCCATATTTTAATGAATAGTCATTGTTATGGGCAAATTGACGACTATTTTCAGGCATTTTTGTGGGTACATGTAGTATGCTTTTTGATATTTACAACTTAACTTTTGTTAATTGGTCATTTATAAGAACGATCACTAAAATATAGATTAAGTGATGTTGTTGGTTGTCAACCCCTCTAATATTACATTATAACGTTCGGTGGAGTATTTGGTACATTTTTGAACCAAAACATATTATACTGTATTTTCTCAAGAAACTTTTGACACAATTAATAATGGAGATACTATTAAACAACATTTGTAATGCTATCATGTAACCGGCCTAACAAAATATCTTTTGACGATCTTATGAGATTTTAAAACGGAGCAGTAATGATCTTAAACTTGTCATCTAACATTAAGAGTGAATCAGCAACAGTAAAATGTACGTAACCTATATTTTATTTATTTTAATACTAGAGACAGTAATGAATAAAATACCAAAAAGAACAATTTATTTAGAAACTCTTGTCTGTCTTGTGATATTAATAAATCAAGCACACCTCTAAAATGTCTCCTATTTATAGTGGTGGAAACATGTATTCATTATCAATTCACTTACGCAAGAAATGTATTCACATATATGTAACATCTAAACAAGATGAAGGTACATTTCCCCAGCTGGCCATGATAGTCAGCTTACGTTATGTCTCATACATACAACATCGAGGGTTTGCGGAGGGGAGTGATACATGAAATATTCAACTTTAAATATTCAACCCGTGAATAATAAAATCGTAGGGTATGTAAAGCAGGGATTAAAACTACTTATTTGTACATAATCTTTGTCGTGGATCAGATGAAGAAAAATATTAACGTAAAAATATTTAAAGCTTTTTTATGCTTACTCTTTGCTACAAAAATTTTACTAACATTATAACTATTTTTAACCAAATAGAAGAAATTTGTGTAAGCTGCTGTTTCATGCTTTTGGTACTGTTACTAACCAGGTATACTGGAATGTTTATCATAAAATAGGAAGAAAGCATTTATTAGTCACCCTTGCACTTTGACGTCACCGGACATAGAAACACACACCAAAAAATGTTTTAAATTTAACATACAATGATGAATCTACGAGCAGTTTTAAAGTTTGTGTCGCAAATTATGACATAATTATAGAGTTGAGCATCGATCCTTAGACTTGTTAGGAGATGATACATTTATCTTCTTATCAAGGTTTTATGATTAGGTTGGTTTTCCTATAGTTGGTGCAACCAAAATAGAGTGTAACATAAAAAATTTGAAAACTTTCAAAAGTGTTTATGTATATCGAACGATTATAGCTTGATGGATTTTAGTGTCGTTAGTAATACTGTAACTGGTAAAGAAATAAGTATATTGATAGTTTGGTGTGTAAAAATTAACTCAATATAAATTATAGCAAAAATATCTGGATGAAAATTATATTTATTACTTAATAAAAAAAATATTGGTGATCTATAGGCATACATTAATGTTTAACCACTACAGGAACCTCCCCAATAACAGTTTTTGTCCAGTATTTTTTTAGAAAGTAGAATTATAAATGTCAAGATTTTAAGTGCTGGAGTCTATTGAATTCATTGCTGATAGGGTAAAAACTATCTAAGACAACAATTCAAGTTATCCGTGATTTTTTTTCAATTAAATATCAATCGGATCAAGTTGTACGTGTTTCATAGCTTTAAAATATTGTACAAACAACCAAAAAACATCAGAAATAATTACTTAATTTTTTTTTCAAATCTGTGGACCATAATAAAAAGTAATGTTTGAATCCCTACAGCTTTACCAATAACAATCTTGTGCAGTCATTTGGAAGAGAATACAATTTGAAATGATCGGATTTTCACGTGTTGCCAATTCTAGTTAACTTGAACAATATTTTACAGTTGTTGCACTTTAAAAAATGTTTCGTTCATGTTAATACTACCCAAATTGTATCATGTTATACTTGAGACAACTATAAATACATGGCTTGTTCGCTTTTATTGACTTTGCTCACGATTATTACTTGATTGAATGATATTTCACGTTTGAGTCATATTTGACACTACACTTTATACTATGAATCTAGAATGTATGTAATGTTTTAATGTGCGTTTGTGTGTTGTAATGTTCTAACTTGATGTTATATACTTTTTTCAGCACTGCTGTGTCATTTAATTAATCTCGTCTTTACCAAAGGTTTACATGTTATCCACTGTGTATACAAATGCCAAATATGTGACAGAGTTTTCATATACAGATAGATTAAAAGCTTCGGAATCCCGAATTTATCAGACGATAGAAATGATATGATGTCTTAGTGTTGTTGTAGTAGGACATGTTGCAGTTTATTTACAAAAATCCCATTTTAAAAATATAGTTTAAAAACACATAAGATGCTGTTAAGGAATTATTAAATATTTAAGACGTCAAGATATATTTTACCGAACATTTGTTTCACCACTTCCTAAAGCCCGCAACAGTTTACATCAAAAACTTTATATTTTACATTTAAACAAATATATTTATTTGATTGAATCAATGAACATCACTACTGTTCTATCTTTAACTTGTTAAAAAGTTACAACAGCAAAAACGCAACATGGACCAAAGTGGACCGTGTAGATTGAGTAATTGAAACTCAAATTTTGCACAGTGGTCAGTTAAGTAGAGAAGAGAACTTTTGAGCTAACTTGTTTAAAGTACAGCTGTACAGTTGATTGAACAGTTAAAGCAATGCAATTACACAAATTGAAACTTGCTCTTCGAATCACCAAGTTAAATGGTGCAAATCTTGTACCAAGTAGAGTGAAAAGAACATGTTTCTCGAAAAGTTTGCCATGGGGCTATTAGTGTGTTGGATAATGTCGGATGATGAGGTCCCGGGTTCACATCCCGGTAATCACCAATGGATTTTATCCATGAGATAATGTCACGACCCTCTAGGACTAGCCTGAAGTAATCTGTAAAACAGTTTTGTGGCTAGAACCTAGCGTCGTAGGATGTGAAAGGTGGAACGGTAAAAAAATAATCTAAATATTGGTAACTGATATTTATCTTAATTTTATTTGGCTCCAGTTGATCTTGAGGATTGTAATATTTAAGGTCTTCTGCAAGTTTAACGAACATACATAATTTTATGGACTTGCACTTTTGGTATCAGTAATAAGTTCAGATCAAATTAATTTAACTTTATATTATAACAATTACACAGGCTTAATTTTTTTGATTTTCTATTTGTAATTAGGTCAAAGCTGTTGAACATATATTGCATTCAAACACTATTTCAGCTTATCTATAACCATGGCAAACATAGTGATAATATAAATGATATGATTTTCATTATTACTCACACCTTACTATTTATTCAAAAAGGAGTCTCCATCTTTCATGTATCAACACTAAACCCCGATGTTGTATGTATGAGGCATAACAGAAGCTGACTATCATGGCCGACTAGGGAAATGTATATTATACCTTCTTGTTGTTTAGATGTTACATACATTTTGTATATCTTCCTCTACCCACCTGAATCTCTGTTATAGTTGTTTACTTAAAGTAGTTTTCTCAAGAGATTACATAAATGATTATTTGCAGGAAAGCAGTAGCAAGATAGCTGTATATACAGTAAAAAACTAAAAAAAGACAAATAATTATTTTATATAAGTAGTTGTAGTTACGTTTATGCTTATGTAAGTAGGTGGTAGAGATGGTAAAACAGAATTAGGTAATTACTGAGCAAAGTATGTAAAGGTTGCGCTATACTGTCAAATCAATTGTCCTTAAGAGTTACGAACAGTAGTTGCAACGGTAAAAAAACTTTACATTTGTCCTAAATTTATCCTTCTAGTGGATGCAAAAAAGGTACTTATTACGAGCAGTAACAGGTTACACTCTACCGATAGCCAATCCACTAAAGTAACAGTTACTAGTAGTCGTTAATCGGCTATTCAAAGACTATAAAAGCACAGTAACTGTAACAATCATGCAAATTCTCCACTATAGTAGCAAAGCCTGTTATAGTCAACCTATGAGCCTGTAATTCCTTGTGTGTCATAGCCTTTTCATTGTTCAATAGAAAAATTATTAGAATACATCACATCATGTTAGATATGCATTGGTTTGGTTGCTCTTTCCGGACCCTTACCTAGATGATGCCCGGTAATGTAATTGACATTCTATTTTTGATGTTAATTTATGATGATGATAATTTTTACGTTATGTGAGTAATTAATATGGTAATTCTTCATTCAAGGTATTTTGGAATCTGAAATCAGGCGACAAAGCACCTAAACATGCCAAGATCGGAACAAGATAACGCAAAAACACTAAAAGGCCAATAAGCAGGCATTTTCTGTACAAGCATGATTGTGCTCGAGTGAGAGATTTTAAACAAAAACAAGTAGCATTTAAACATCTTTCCTGATGAGTCGACTACCAGCATAAAATATACAAACTGAGTCAAACATAGTCCATAAAGTGCAACTGAGCCGACTCAACAGGTCCACTTCTGTAAACAATGACTTTCTGGTCTAAAAGATTGCAGAACCCAATTACTTGTGTAGTGTTGATACTACTTGTTTTACTGATCGTGATTAGAAACGTCCGCAATCATTTATAAAATAACAGAAAAACTTAATTTTGGTTTCAATAAACTCCAATGTTAAATATACTAGACTATGTT